TAACAGACCGGGACAGGAAATCCGTTAAAAATTCATAACTTCTTCATCCGACGTCCGTTTTCGTCTGTCTTTTTACCGTTGCGCTACTATTGACAAGACCTTCGATTCTCGTTTAGGTCGCGTTGGCTAAAAATCACTCGATCTAAAATTCGAGTTTTTTGTTGTCTACTGCTAAGCTGAAACTTCGAAAAATCATAACTTCCTCATACGAAGTCAGATCTGGGCGTTCTTTCTATACCTACTCTCGGTTTAACGAACACTACGAGTTTCATTTAGATCACTAAGGCTAAAAAGTAGTTTATCAAAAACTCACTTTTTACGACATTCGGCCCTGTGCCGGTTTTGTCGCGAAACTTCGACAGGTCATAATTTCTTCGTTATAACTCAGATTTCGGCATTCTTTATATATCCGTAATCCTTGTCACACCCACTTCAAGTTTCTTAATAGATATCGGCTTTATATAATATTTATTTTTGACGCTTATTTTTATTCTTAATTAATTAATCCCTAATAATTAAGTATAAAACACATAATTCACGTAATATTCACATAATTCATTTTCATTTCTTTAAAATGAGTTACAAAGGTTAACCTAGACTATAATCTCAATATTAATGCCTAGCCTAGAAACACGGACATTACAGTTTGGCAGCTAATAGAAGGTAACAAGTCGTTACCTTGAGCATTCATTTGATAGATCTCTTCATCTTGAGCTTCATGGCCGTTCCTAGCACATTTGTGGACTAGTGCTTGCATGGAACACAATCTGAAGTTGCAACTTCAGATCTGGACTCTCCAAGATCCCTATGTATTAAAGTCTCAAACTTTTGAGGCTTGAAGCCCTCCTCCATATCAAAACCCTTCCTTGTAGTTTAGTTTTGGCTTTTGGGAATTGTTTACACGTAAAGGTTGCAACTTTACATGGAAAGCATGCTCTAGGAGGTTGGATCTACCTTTGGGAGCAATTGTTTGGCTTAGAATCGTCTGAATGAGAAGTGGACTGAACGAACTCGGCGAGTTGGATAGCCAACTCGGCGAGTTGAAGAGGGTTTTCTCGTGTTTGTTTACTGCATGAACTTAGCGAGTCGATATGGTGACTCGACGATTGGATAGAGTTTTCTCGATTATGGATTTTGCATGTGCTCGACGAGTTGATGGAACAACTCGGTGAGTTGACCAAGGTTTTGCATGGTTCTGAGTTCTATGGAACTCGACGAGTCTGAGGATGACTCGACGAGTTGATGCGGTTTAACACGAGTCTGAGTAACCAGGGAACTCGACGAGTCAGGGGTTGACTCGACGAGTTGGTTCAGGATTTCAGAGTTCTGAGTTTTTAGAACTCGACGAGTTGATGAAGCAACTCGGCGAGTTGAGTCAACTCGGAGCGTTGACTTTGACCATTGACCGTTGACTTTGACTCGGACCAAGGTTGACCTAGTTTGACTGTTGAGGGTATTTTGGCCTAAGTGTTATTTTGGTATTGGTAGCTCGGGGAGCCGAAGGAGCAGCAGTTCGGGGAATTGCTAGCTAGCAGCCAGAAGAGTATCAGCAAGTCTTCAGCAGTGCGAGGTGAGTCTCCTCATTGTGTGCATGGGTCTACGACCACAATGTCGGCCCATTATGTTTGTATATAGTAGGAAGACTCGGGGGTTAGCCCTAGGCATTTTTATGATATATGTTACGGATTACGATCCGATGTCGGGCGAGACCCGACGTATGTTAGTATGCTAGAGGTCTTTGTGATTCTTGCATGTGTCGGTACGATAGATTCCGGACCAGGGGTCCGATTCCAGGGAAAGTCCGAGGTATGTTTATATGGTAGTATGATTCCGGATTAGGGTCTGATGTCGGGGTAAGCCTGAGGAATGTTATATGTTGCATAGTAGTTATACTTGTTGTCTTTGTGATACATGTATGTGCCTGGTAGGGAGGTGAGTGTGGGCGAGGTCCCATATCTCACCACTAGCTGAGTACGGACGGGGTTCCGTATCTCATTATTAGTAGAGCAGGGGCGGGGCCCGGGTCAGGAGAGAGGTGAGTGTGGGCGGGGGCCCGTATCTCACCATTAGCAGGAGTATGGACGGGCTTCCATGACTCTTCAGTAGCAGGACAGGGGCGGGGCCCAACATAGGCGAGGCCTTAGAACATGAATACAGTAGAGTATGGTTGTTTATTGTGATAGTATGTTTATGTTATTGTATGTGGCTAGTGGGTGAGGCCTAGAGACAGGCGGGGCCTAAGAGAAACAGATCTGTATACCGAGCGGGGCTAGATGCCAGGCGGAGCTTGATGCCGGGCGGGGCCCGATGCTGGAGCGAGTCCAATGTCGGGCAAGTCCCGATGCAGTGGGCGGGGGGCCAGTATGTGGTTTTGTGTATGGTATGTGGTAGGTTGGGGAACTCACTAAACTTCGTGCTTACGGTTTTCAGTTTTGGTTTCAGGTACTTCCGGTAGCGGAGGGAAGAGCTCGGGATGACTGCATCGCACACACCATGATGTTTAGCCTTGGATGTTTTACTCTGATTTTTTATATGGAACTCTGATGACAATGATTTGATGAAATGTTTGATAACTTATGGTTTTATTAACTAATTAAAATGAAATTTTTGGTCTTGATTTTTGGGATGTTACATAGTTAATCGACACAGCATAGTTAGATAGTAAGGCATGAATTGTTTTAGCGAGGTACCGAAATGAATGATCGTGGGGTTGAACATTCGTATGTGAGAAAATGTCTACAAGGGTCAAGTATTAAAATGGTTCAGGGTTTATGGTTTAAGGTTTAGATAGCATTGAATTTAGGATTAGCCTTTAAATACAATTTAACTTAATTGACGGTTAAAACCATTGATGCAAGTGTTCTTGCTCACTTGTGAAGTCTGATTTATTTATCCTATTATACAACATAACTAAAATACTTCGTACTTAACATATATTCATCATTGTCCTTGCAAGGGAAAAAAATCAAAATAATAAAACAATAACAACATATTAAATAGGTAAAAATACTAAAGATATATCTATGATATGAAGAACTACTCATATGGTTTTTTTTTTTGAAAATAAAATTACTCATATTATAAGAGTAGTATTTTAACTTAGGGGTGAACATTTGGACCGGTGGATCAGACCTAGATATAGACCCTTTTTTAGACCTTCGGGTCGGTTCTCAGTTCTAGGAATTAATCAAAACCAACTCGGTTTTTTTACCGATTCGGTCCAACTGGTTCAGGTAAAAACCGGTTTTGGACCTGATTTAAAAAAAAAAAATCTTTAAACAAGTATATCTCATTCGTTTTAATTTGGATTGACATTCGATTTTTTCCAACGTGTAATTTAGAGTTTGTACATGATTTTAGACTGCAATTTTATTGTTTTTGGTGTTACATTCAATGAATTGAAATCTTTTAAGTTGGGATATCAAAACTAAAATATTTCAGTTTTTCAGTTATTATTTTAAACTTTTGTATTCTGTGAAAATCTTTGAACAAGAATATCTCATTCGTTATAAGTCGGAGTGACATTTAGTTTTTTCCAACATGTAATTTAGAGTTTGTATAGGATTTTAGAGTATAGTTTTCATTTTTGGTGTTAAATTCATTGAATTACAAATTTTTAAAGTTGAGATGTCAAAGCTAAAATATTTTAGCTTTTCAGCTATTATTTTAAATTTTTGTATTTTGTGAAAATCTTTAAACAAACATATATCATTCTTTTTAAGTAGGATAGACATACAGTTTTTTCCAAAATGTAATTTAGAGTTTGTATAGGATTTTAGAGTATAATTTTCACTTTTTGTGTTAAATTCATTGAATTACAATCTTTTAAAGTTAAGACGTCAAAGCTAAAATATTTCAGCTTTTCAGCTATTATTTTAAACTTTGTATTCTGTAAAAATCTTTAAACAAACATATCTCATTCATGGATTAACATGCGGTTTTTTTCTAACGTGTAATTTAGAGTTTGTAAATGATTTTAAACTACAATTATGTCATTTTTGATGTTATATTTAATGAATTATAATCGTTCAAAGTTTGGATATATTAAAGCTGAAATATGATATGATAAATTCATAACTTATGTGATTCAAAATTCAAACAAATGATATAAACAATCAAAGTTTGATCGGTCCAACAGATACAAAAAACAAAAATGTATTTATTTTTACGAGTTGTACCGTATCAAACCCATAAACATGTTTTACCGAGTTGTCCCGTATGCATGTTAAGTCGTACCGGTTCATGGTCTATGGTCCACAATATTCTCAGAAACCGGTCCAGTCCAATAGCCGGTCCGGTCCAGTCCAATAGCCGGTCCGGTCCAAATGTTCACACCTATTTTAAGTTTTTAACTATACCCAACACTAAATATATATAAAATAAAAAATAAATGTAAAAACAAGTATTTCGTGGCCGATCCATTTAAACTTGTACCAAAAAGGCAAAAACTTCACTTTTTTAGCCCGTTATCTAATGTAACTGGGCTCAGGTACTCGGGTACTTTGGACAAACCAAATCCACAGGCTAAAATCATCAAATGGCCATATGTATATAACAAATTAAGTTATGAAATCAAAGTGCGTATTAAACTATTAATAGTAGATTGACCATATGAATTGTAAATACATAGACGTGTTCACATTAACAACATAAAAAATTTACGAGGTCAAGTCTCTATAAATAACTCCTGTAACTTATTTATACCTGAAAACGAACTTTGGTGAAATATAAAACCAATGACAATAATACGTAAATCGTAATACATTAAAAAAAATGAACCTGAACTTATAAAGAATATATTGATATATGATCAGATGGATGCTTTCAAGCTTCTGAATCTCCTCGAAACAAATCGACATGATAATCATGTGTATCTTTAATCCTCTTATCTTCATTTTTCCGGCATTTAATAAGTAGAGATTTAGAAGTTAAATTCACTGAATTAAACGATAAATCACGTTAAATAGTCATATAAAGTAACCAAGTGGATGTTGATGTAATCAAGCAACCAGCTGATCTTCCACCCATGGCGAAAAATATTGATCTTCTTCCGATGTAACATTATTCTCGTAGCTTGTGCCACTTCCAAGTACCCCAAAAGAAGCAGATTTTCTTAACTTATTAAGCTCATCTTTCTGAATACCCCAATTCAACTTCCCATCAGGAGACCCCCAATCTGAAAGCTTCGAAGCCGCCATTGTCGGAACCCCCAACTGGCGGTTGGCTGTTCCACGGTCAATAAAACTTTGACTCCTCTTTGCAAACGCAGCCGATCTTGAATTCATAATCTGAGAGGACATTCGCAGTGGTGATGATGGAAGCCCAGAAGAATAGTTCATGTTCTGGTGTAATGGATTAATTCTCGCTTCAATTTCTTCAAAATAATCGCTACCAAAACTAGGGTTGCTAAAGCTATCGATCAGTTGTTGCTGACGATAAATATCCGCCCTAATTAACTCAGATTCAAGGTCCAAATCACGACTACTTGTAGCCCTACTAAACCTGCTACTGACACCCTTCATGGTAGGGGACGACTGGTTTGACCATAACGGGGAAGAAACCGGGGAGTTTGAGGTAGGAGGTATCATGATTGATGGGGAAGAAAGAGAGAAAGGACTTATTGATGAAATATCAGAAGAGAAAGATAAAGATCTAGGAGAAAGTACAGCAGAACCTGTTGAAGGGTGTAATGGGCGTAGCTCTTCTGGTTTATGAGCAAAAAAACATACCTTTCTGTTGCATCCTATTTCATCTTTACACAAACGGGTTCTATATTGAGCAGGATGAAGCCAACATTCGAAGATTCCATGAGCGTATTCACAAGCATCTCCTTGTCTGCAAGATCCTTTACGAAACTCTGGACATGGGACACAACTGTAGTGATACTTACGTGGATCCCGTCTTCTAGCGTTCTCACCTGGATGAACAAAAGGGCATTCTGTCCAATCGTGGGAGTAAGCTCTTGAACATGGTTTGATTTTGAAAGTATACATTCGGAACTCGTCTGTGTTGTATATCCCGTTTTTCATGTCAGGAAGAGAGAGGTCGATTGGATACTCTTTCTTCTCGGGGGATTCTTTTGATGAAATCAAAATAGGGGAAAACTTGTGTTCTTCGATATGATCATCGTCTGTAAGTTCTTCACCGTTTAACAGAAGCTCCAAGAATTTCTTTTTTGAACTGAAAGAAGAACCGAAGACCAGAGGGATTAAGTCAACAGGTAGATTCCCGTGAACATCGAGACAACTGATATCAGCAGAAGCGTTGATCAAAAGCTTGACCACTTCAACGGATGACTTGGATCCACCAGCAACAGCCATGTGTAAAGCAGTTGCCCTATCGGAGCCACAAGCTTTGTTAACATCAACACGATTTAATCCAAGAATGAACTTCAGAACCTGTTTGCTACCAAACATGGAGGCAATCATAAGCGGTGTTCTTTCCTCTAGCCTCATCTTCTTCGAACCTATCGATCTACCATACCATAAACCAGAATCGTTGACATCGAAACAATCTTGTTCAACCGCTGACCTAAATCCATCTAAATCATCCGCAGCCGCTAATTCTAGCAAAATTGAAATATTACTAACGATTCTATCTTGCTTCTGACCTTCAGCATAGTCCACAACCACATCGCCAGTGCACATATTTTTTTGCTTACGACTGTTTCGCGATCAAACACTCGCTTCCTACAAAATAACAGAGTAAAATTAGGACAAACGCAAATATTCAACCATCAGAACCCTAAGCATAAACAACGTATCTGCATAAACGATGTAGAATTGAAGTCAACATCTATCAATCATGAACGAAACAAGTTCAGTATATTTTATCGGAAATTTTCCTCTATCAATCAGAAACTAAACAAAGTAAGTGGATAGTGATGCAGAACTGAAATTAACCTATATCTAAGTCCACGCCAAACAAAATCAGTCTATTTTCTTTGCAGATTGATGATTATCCATGGTTATTGAAACAAACGCACTAAAATATCAAATTCACAGACACTTAACATAGATTCACACAGAACATACCTTGATTTCTTCGGTCAGCGGTTAGAAACGAAGATGAATTCGCGGGAATGCTTTTCTACAGAAGAATTTGCGGAGTCAAAAAAGACGAACTCAAAAGCGCCTTTTCTTCTAAATTTCCATCTTATTTTTCCCTCCGAAATGAAACTCAAATGCAAATGCAAATGCAAATGAAGTTTTAAATTTGGAAAGGGTTGGTAATGCTTGGTATTAGCGTTGGCCCACCAAAAGTGGAAATTTCTAGAACCAAGTTTTATTCGTGAACGGCCCTCGACTCCTCCTGTGGTCGTGACACGTGTCAACCCATATATAAAATATCTTGCACCGGCGACCGGCTGAATAATATTCTTGTTCATTTTTATACTAAAAGTATTGTAACGAGTTTTAATACTAGTACATGAGTATGGTTTGGTTTTGTTTAGTTTTTGATTCAAATTGAAACCGAACCAATAGTTTCGGTTTTTTATTTTAGAGAAACCAAACTGTCGGTTTTTTTCGGTTTTGGTTTTCCTGTTTTCTATCGGTTTTTTGGTTTTTTATTTCGGTTTTCGGTTTTTTCCGTTAACAAATAACATAAAAACAACTTTTGGTAGACATCAACAAATACTCCCCATACATGTTTATGAATTATTAGAAATACCTTTTAATTTATGTCGAAACCTCTTTCACATGTTAGAATGACTCACTAATATATAATTAGACAACCTTGCAAGTTGTGTATCTTTCTTATACTTTTCTCTTTTTTTACTTTACTTATAACCTCAACGGATATGAGACTTTATATAAGTATTACACAACATACGTTAAATTTATATACATGTAATGTGCTTATGAGTATTTTATTCAAGCCTAATATAAAAATAATCTCAATATTATAAATACTTTATTGCATGAAAGTCGAAGAGTTTGTTGATAAAAAAACATCGACATAGTTCTTTGAAGAACATCATAGTAAGATTTTCATGAAAAACATCATAGTCAAATTCATCGTCGAAGTAGACTAAAACATATATTTGGTAGTTTGGTTCGGTTCGGTTTTTTCGGTTTTTATATTTTAAAAAACCAATCCAAACCGAAAAAAATCGGTTTTTATAAATAGCAAAAACCAAACCGTTGGTTTTTCAAACGGTTCGGTTTTTTGGTTTCGGTTATCTTGCACGTTCCTAGTACATTGAAATATGAGTTTTTAATCAAGAAGCAGTTATATTTTTTAACAATATTATGATATAATTAGTGGTGGATGTAGAAATTTCCGATAGTAATGGCGTCAAAAAATAATAGTGACACTAATTTTTTTCGAATGTTGCACCTTAATAGAAAAACAATTTTTTTTACATTAAGAAGCGGAAACAAAATAATGCTCACCTAAGGGTGAGCATTTGAACTGAACCAGACTGGTTTGGAAGGATTCTACCGACCGTGGACCAGACCAATTGTGGCCTACTGGTGCCGATACCGATTTTTCCAATTCTTGGACCGGTATAACATTTCATGCATATGGTACAAGTCGATGAAGCATATGGTACATTCATTGTGTTTGACGGTACAACATTCATTGCGTATGTTTCAATTCCCAGTCCAATACTTGGAACCGGCCAAACTGAACCTGTCAAAAAACCAAACCGGAAATTTAAGAATTCAAAAACCAAGAACCGGCCCGACAACATGGTACCGGCCCAAGTCCTGGTCCCGTTCCAGGTTACGAGTCTAAATGTGTACCCCTATACTCGCCCTACTTAAAATTAGGGGTGAGCAAACCTAAACCAAGAAACCGAGAAACCGATTAAAACCGAAAAAACCGAAACCGAAGCAAAACCGACGGGTAGGGTTTAGATTTTTTAAAAACCGAAAAATCAGGTTCGGTTTCGGTTTTTACCCAGAAACCGACCCATATATATATATATATATATATATATATATATATATATATATATATATATATATATATGGTTGAGATCGGTTGAGAACTCAAAGTTTTTCGAGAACCCGAGAACTAAAAGTGGAGCGTTTGATCAAAAGTAATTCGTTAAGGACATGATCGTCATCTTACCAATTTCATTTAATGTTTAATTTTTTTGTGTTATTTAATATATTAATATAAATGTCTAAAAATTTACATTATAAATCAAAATTTCAGATTTTTTTAAAATAGTATTTTTCGTTTTTTTTAAATGCAGATTTTTTTATTTTTTATAGAAAACATGTACTTTTGAAAAAAATATCAAAAAAATATTTTTTTTAAAAAACTGCAATTTTTTAAAAAAAAATGCATTTTTTTTTCAAAAAAACTGTATTTTTTTTTTCAAAAAAACTGCAATTTTTTTTAAAAACAAACTGCATTTTTTTCAAAAAAAAAACTGTATTTTTTTTAAAAAAACTGCAATTTTTTTTAAAAAAAAAACTACATTTTTTAATAAAAAAACTGCAAGTTTTTTGAAAAAATTTACATTTTTTCAAAAAAAAAAACTGCATTTAAAAAAAAAAAATTTAGGTGCATATATGCATATTTTTTCAAATGCATATATTCATATTTTTTATATTATAATATTCGTAAATAAATCATAAAAAACTTATTATATTTACCAATCTATAAACACAATAGAATAAGTATTTTATTCGATACAAAAAAAATATTAAAAACAAAAAAATGTACAAAATTTCAAAGCGTTTTTATATCTTCGTGTCAATATTTCCATATTTTTCTTCAATTTATCATCTTCACCTCTTCAATATTCACCACAATTTCTTCCAAATCTACAAAAAAATTAAAAAAAAATTGATGATGCAAAAAACACTCACAAAAATACATATGAGATTAACATATGAATCACAGACAATTCACGTATGATTTACATATGATGTATATGTGATTTACATGTGAATCTCATGTAATTCATATGTGAATTACATGTGAATCACATGTAGTTAATATGTGATGTGAATCACATGTAGTTAATATGTGAATTACATGTGAATCACATGTAATTCATATGCGATTCATATGTGAATCACATGTAATTCATATGTGAATTATATATGAATCACATGTAATTCATATTTGAATTACATGTGAATTATATGTGATTTACATGGGAATTACATGTGATTAACATGTGAATCACATGTGATTAACATGTGAATCACATGTAATTCATATGTGATTTACATGTAATTCATATATGAATTACATGTGATTTACATGTGAATCACATGTAATTTATATGTGATTTACATGTGAATCAGGTGTAATTTACATGTGAATTACATATACTTCATATGTGAATTACATGTGAATCATATGTAATTCATATGCGAATTACATATGAATCATATGTAATTCATATTTGAATTACATGTGAATTATATGTGATTTACATGGGAATTACATGTGATTACATGTGAATCACATGTAATTCATATGTGATTTACATGTAATTCGTATATGAATTACATGTGAATCACATGTAATTCATATGTGATTTACATGTGAATCAGATGTAATTTACATGTGAATTACATATAATTCATATGTGAATTACATGTGATTTACATGTGAATCACATGTAATTCATATGTGAATTACATAAGTCAGACCACACAAAAGTTAAAACACTTTGCAAATATAAGTAGTAATATGTAATATAAAGTCAAAGAGTAGAGTCTTTCATGTACCTTGGCTGGATACTGAAGCATCAGTGAAGCGAAAGGCGAATGTAAGGCCATCTTCTGTCTTATCCATGTTAACAAAAGTATTATTATAAATAACAAAACAGAAAAATGAGCTATACAAAAGCTGGGAATGGAAAAGGTCAGAAAAAAAGAGAGTATATTTGCTTACCCCTTTTCTTTTGAAGGAGCCTTATTTGCAAGTCTAGCTGTTTGAACAGCAGCATCAACAGATGCAGCTTCAGGAGTTGCTCGTAGAATCTCACAAATAAGTTGTTGGCATTCACTCTATCATATATACAGTTAAAGATCACGAACTATATAATGAATATTCATAAGATAGTAAAAAGAGTAAAGAAGTAATTACCTGCAGAACAGTCATGGAAAAGCCAATAGTGTAGCCTCCTGTATCCTTAGATGATTCAGAATCAGGGTTCCCAGAAATCTCAGTCACCATGGATTTCGGTGTGTTCATTGGTGCTTTTTGAGAAGATTTTGACTCAAGAAGCTCTCCAACAACCACATGGTTATCTGCAAAATATACTCACTCAGTCACAATCACAGATGATAATTACATGATTAGTAACTTATATAGTTATACTAACCAAATATCCGAACAATAGCATCTAGAATAGAATCAAGAAGTTCCTTTGTTGCATTCTGTGCAACTCCCATGGGAGCCATCACAAGTGAGACAGGGCTGACTGCTAATAATGTTCCAGCTAACAATGACCCGTTTTGATGTTTATATTTTGGTAACTGGTAGCTCTGCAACTGCCCTTTTACATAATGAAGACCTATTGTAGCAGTTCAGGCAGCCTGCCAATACAAAATATATTTCATTCAGTAATAAAATTTCAGTTGAATACTAGTAGTATTTTGAACTTTTCAAACATTAAAAACAATTATGATGATCGATGTTTAATTAAAAACTAAATAGTAAATAACATACACTTTTATATTCAACGACTTTTGCCTTTCCACCAACAAAGTAATAATTTTACTAGAGCATTAAAAACAATGGATTCATCCTCCCAAACAGAGACATCAAGACCATAAGCTATAGGAAAGTACTCCCCTGAAGAACAAAAGAAATATAGGTCATATGGACACATATTCTATTTCTATTTAAATATTCAACTCCTAATTAAACTTACTGTTGTAAGTAGCCACCTCAAAGGGACATGGGGAGATACTCATTCCATCAAATGAAGCACATATCTTGTAAGTTCCAACATTCATTGCCATGTAGAAGCCAGTGTATGTCCCATCCCTATTGTCTACAAACAATACAACCATGAAAAACGGTTTGTTGATTGAATCAGGCTCTAGTGTCAATTTGGACAATTTCAAGTGTATGAATTTACAAAATAAAGATGAATTATATGAATTTACAAAATAAATCATACCTGTGTTACATGTGCATCCGATTGAAATGTGTGGTGATTGTTGATGAAATCGACGAGGCTTTTGCTTCCTCCTGGAGAACTTCCTGGTCTCTGATCAAATCGAGGGCATTATGAGGTTTAGTGAGCTATTATTATGTTTAAGTTTTACAATAAAGAGAATCATATGAAAATGCATTTGATTCCATCTGCCATTCAGTTCCAAACCTTCAACTAAATCAGTTTAATTGTTTTAGTTTTTCCCTGAGGCAAAAGTCGAAAGATGAGAATGGTGAATTTGAGACATTGGAAGTTACTGTTTATGACTCGAAAATCTAAAGAACTTTATACGACTATGATGTGTGTTTATGTGGAAATCTCATAATAAATTTAACAAACAGATTAATTCCACACAGATTCATGATATACATCGGAAAACAAAATCAGTACGCAATAAATATACAATCAATCTCGATTCAAAAGTTTCAGCTGTCAAACAAATGGATTATTGTGTGAATGAAGTCTTCGCAACGAATATGACAGAGAAACAAATTAATTCTCCAATAGATTCACGATATACATACAAAAACTAAATCAACACGAAATTGTCATACATACCATCTGGAATTTCGATATTTCAGCTGCGGGTGTAAATGGATTAAAGTTGCCCATGAAGCAGTTAACAGATCGCACCTTCATCTTGTTTATAATCAATAATAATGAAGCATTGATCAGTGGTAGATTTCAGATGAATTGATGGTGGATATTAATCTGGAGGCAGAAAGAAGACGCCAAGGAAGAACGTGAATGAGCAATTTCGAAACGGGAGGCGGATTTGAAATTCTTCTTGGTGGAGTCGCTCAATTTCGAAACCCTAGCTTCTATTTTCAACAAATCGAGCCGATTTGGGAAGTTTCAGACAATCCGATGTGCGATTGCAGGGAAGATGGAGACGAGGAGAATTAGATACGGTGGAGAGAGAGAGAGAGAGAGAGAGAGAGAGAGAGAGATCTGATAAGGAATGGTGATTGTGTACGAGTCAATTTCTATAACCCTAAAATGCCCCTAATTCCATTTAATTTTGATGCCCCCGTCACTTTACTTTTCCACTTATTTACAAAAATGCCACAATACATCTTGACCATCCCTTTTTTTGATCCAACGCTCCACTTTTGGTTCTCGGGTTCTCGGGAAACTATGAGTTCTCAAATGATCCTTCCTCTCTCTCTCTCTCTCTCTCTATATATATATATATATATATATATATATATATATATATATATATATTAAAAAAGGAAAGAAAATATAACAACCCTAAATCACTAAATCGAAATCGGGGTCTCAGTTTCCCACTTCTGTCTTCCATTCTCATTATCGTCATTCGTATTTTCTCGTCTCCCCTTCCCCGATCGAAATCGACGACGCAACCAGCAACAGCAGGAGCTCCGCTGCTCCGCCGAGTTCCGACTCCAACAACCCCATTCCCAAACCGTCGACGCCACTCTTCCAAACCGCTGCCTTCGATGCTCCGTTCTCGCTTCTCACTTCTCAATTTCGTTTTCTAATTTCTCTTAAGGATTATAACATTGATTAACCTTCATGGTTCATCTAGAGTTTGAATGTTTGATTATAACCTTCATAGTTCATCTAGAGAAAGAGGGACATAAATATTCAGCAAATTATGGTTGTTGTTTGATTTTAACAGTAGCTGATTTAGTGATTTTAGAGCTGAATGAACCTACGATATAGATTATTGTTGTTGAAATATTGTTGTTGTTTGCTTATGAATTATGATGTTATTGGATGTTTGCTTATGATTTTTGATGCTGAATTTCAGAATTTTTTTTTCGTGTATGATCTAAAAACAAAATTTTTTGGTAATTCCAGAAACTGTTGATGTTGATTGCATTTTTTTTCTATATAGATGGAAAGGTCTCAGGTAAATGCAGAAACTGTTGAGTGCATGGGTTGAACCCAAGAAACCGAAAAACCACCCAAACCGATCTTAGAACCCGAGAAACCGAACCGACCAGAAACCGATCCCATTGGGTTCTGAAAACCAGAAACCGACCATTTATGGGTTGGGTTGGGTTTGGGTCTAAAACCGACCCAAATCGACCCATGCACAGCCCTACTTAAAATATATGCAAAATAAAAATCAACCTGTGTTGAACAACTAGGGTAGAATGGAGTAGAGGTGTTTTTGGGTGTTTGTTTTATTTGATGTACAAATTGTTTTTGTATTCCATATCCATATGTTTAGGGACACAAGTTTTTTTTAGAGCATATAAAAGCATCTCAGGTAATCAACTATAAATTGCAGTACACCATTCTAAAATCTAATTTAAAAACTCATCAACACGTAGGAAAACCTTCTGCCAATGATAAAACGTCAAACGTGTGACTATTCCTCTTTCTTCAAACTTCTTTAAAGAATCACATGTCAAATTCAACAGTTATGAAAGAAGTTTGTAGATGTTATGTAGTTTGTAAATTTCTTTAAAGAATCACATGTCAAATTCAAGAGTTAGGAAATAATATGATCATCTAAAAATTCAGAAGTAAACAAAAAGAACATGTCAGAAAATCCTAGAGTTATGTAGTTTCAATTCAGCGCAATCATCAAATCGCAGATAACATGGAGGTCCAGTCAAATTCAAGAGTTATGAAATAAATCATAACCAAAGTTTAAGAGCAAGAATCACATGTCAAATTCAAACTTCTTTGTGTCCAAATGAAAGAGAAGAGGACATGTGGCAAAAAAACCTTCATTTATTATAGTAGATGCAACTTACAATGTATTTATAGGAAAGATTGCAACTAACTATAAATTGTAAGCGTGCAGAGTTACGACAACTTATAATGTATTTATAGGAAAGATTGCAACTAACTATGAATTGTAAACTATGTGAAGGAAAGAGCTAGCATGATATTCCTAAGAAAAGGGAAATGTGGCAAACATGCATAATAGAAAAAGAAAACATGAGAATTAGTCCAATGTATCATCAGATCGTGGGTATCACTTCATGGGTTCGTATCAATACTCCGCCCCTGAAAAATGGCCTTGTCCTCAATGCTGATATCGTTTTGTGTCATGTAAGGCCAAGGTGGATCGGTCTCTGACTGAAGGAGGAGGAATTTCGGTGAGTTGCAATGGTGGCCCGGTTGATATTTGGTGGGGAAATTATAACAAAGGCCTTCAGCCCGACGCTTTTGCATTTCAGTGGGGGTCAGTTTCTTCATCGGGAGTGGTAGGGAAGCGGGAGGTAGACAATAAGGGTGGATTCGTTGGTGGCGGTTCAGAGTTCCCATCAGCAGGAAGAAGTGGAACACGGAGCTTGTCCTCAATGAGTTTGGTAAGACCATATGTTTGGTGAAGGGTAGGTGGGTTATGTATAGCTATCTCATTTTGGATGTATGACCGGAGACCAGAAATGAAGCAATTACAAAGAGCTTCCGGTGATAAGCCATTAACACAATTGCTGAGTTTTTCGAAAGCGGCTTGATAGGATGCCACCGTTGATGTCTGCTGAAGTTTGAAAAGATTGGTTTGATGGTTGTTGTAGGAAGACGGACCGAAACAAAGTTCGAGTGCCCGACAGAATTCTGGCCATGTGGTCAATAAATGGTTGTTAGCGAGATGCTTGTACCAGCTAAGAGCATCCCCAGTGAAGTGTTGGTCGGTCATAAGTTGGATCAATTGATCCAGTTTGGCGTTGGTATTGGTGTTAATTTGAGCAATGTGGAGGAGATGAACATGAAGGGCAACAATGGAATTATCGGTGTTGGCGACCTTGGGGTTGTCGGAGGTGGAGCCATGTTTTCTGATTTGGGAGCCATGAGAACAAAGGATGAAAGCACCAATTGATACAACCAATTATGGATGGCGAGTCCCCTGTAGAAACTAGATACGAGAGATAGATAAACAACTGATATTTTAGACAATTTTCTCCTATATTATCCAATGCAACTTACAATGTATTTATAGGAAAGATTGCAACTAACTATGAATTGTAAACTATGTGAAGGAAAGAGCTAGCATGATATTCCTAAGAAAAGGGAAATGTGGCAAACATGCATAATGGAAAAAGAAAACATGAGAATTAGTCCAATGTATAATCAGATCGTGGGTATCACTTCATGGGAGGTAATGGCGATGGAGGGAGACATATGTGGTAAGCGGTTGCGGTGACCATAGAAGCAGTAAATACTCTCAAAATTGATACATAATAGCGATTAGGATTTCTATTGTGCAATAGAATAGAATGGTGATGGTCGTTGGAGCGGTGAACACAAATCGATAGAAGATGGCGGTGAATTGATACATAATAGCGATTAGGATTTCTATTGTGCAATAGAATAGAATGGGGATGGCAGCTGGAGCGGTGAACTCAAATCGATAGAAGACGGCGGTGAACAGAAATCAATGTACGCTTGAAACCTCCGGTGTTGGAGCTCAAATAAACTGATAGCAATCTCAATAAGGATGTCACCACAAAAGCCCATGACAAAATGGATCGACCCAAACGCAGTCGAATTCTTCCAGCCCGCTCGCGAGTTAGAATTCTGCCGGCACAGTTCCCGGTTTTCGTCAAAATCTCTATAAGTTAAGTTGCATTTATCGTAATTAAAGTGTAACTTATATTTATAGTCATAATTGTTATTATGGACCTATAAATTATATTTATAAGTAATTATGGTCATAATATTGACTAATCTACTTACGATAGAGGTGTCTAGAATGGTCATGTTGGCTTGGTTGTTGGATTTCAGAAAAGCTATATGCTGAATGATCCTGCCTCCCAACTGTCCTGCATGGTTGATCCTTATGTAACATCTGGATTCCCAGGTATCTTATTTTAAGTATTTATATTGAATTTTAGAGAGGGACTCGGCGAGTAGGCGCTCAGACTCGTCGAGTGGGATCGCGCATTTCTGGTCTGATATAATGAAGGACTCGACGAGTCGATGCGTGGACTCGGCGAGTCCGCGCTGTTAAGTGAAACCCTAATTCTCGGGGCCTGTGCCCTATTTAAAGGCCTTTATAGCCTCCATTGCGGCCACTTCACCCCTGAGAAACCCTAGAGAGAGAAAGAGAACGTTTTTGGTGCAAGAGGAAGGCTAATTCACCATTTCTTGTGTGTTTTAGCAAAAGAGAAGTAGTTTCCAACAAGAGGAGGTCAAGGGAGCTATGGATCCAGGGTTTTCAAGTTCAGATCTACACTATTGAGGTATCAAATCGAACTTCCCTTCTGTTTTGGGTTAAGATCTATGATTTAGGGTTTTCTATAAACCTTTTTAGGCTTGAAAGGTTGAGGTTATGGTCCCTTGCTGGGTTAGACCTCAGATCTGGACCCATAGAGGTCCAGAGAACCTTTCCCATTCTGCTTTATGCTTGTTCATGGAGGATTGGAGACTAGGTTGCCATTTTTAGAGTTATTTCTCCATTTATGACTTGATGTGGGTTGCATGCACGTAAAGGTTGCACCTTTACGTGACCTTTGAGCACTTTGAAGGCCAGATCTATAGTTTAGAGAAGCAGATCTGACCTCATAAGGTCATTTGAGAGTTGTTATGGGAGCAACTCGCCGAGTCCATAAGTGGACTCAACGAGTCGAGTCGGGGTTGCCCTGCGATTCGTGACAGGTGTAACCCATCGAGTGGAAGGATGACTCGACGAGCCAAGAGAGGCTGAAAGG